CCATATCGCTTGGGCTCTACTCCTGGCTTCCCAACTGGAATACCTGAGCTAGCTTAACCTTTCTGTGCCTCAAGTTTTGCATCAGCAAAATAGGAATAATAATAACCTCTTGCTTGTGAAGATTAATTAAATAAATTTGTGCAAAGTATTTAGAATGGGGTCTAAGCTTTTATACTAATGAAGACATTATAGGTTTACATTTATTATTTTCATTACAATGATTATTATTTAGGGAACGTGCCTCACAGGCAAAAGCTGCCAATCATGTAGCAGCTTATCCTTCAATGAAATGCACAGTGTATTTTGCAATGAGGGAGTTTTTGGTTTGCATTACTGAAATGTTCTCTTTGTTTTAGGAAGCAACTGAATAACGTGAAAATATTCTGCCTATAATTTCACGAAGTAGGATAGCAAAAGGATTTCCTTTCAAATTACTTTGTATCTGTGTTTGATGTAAGTAGTTTTTAAAATCTTAGAAATCACTAGGATTTTAGTTTTTAAGCTTTTAATATCTTAGAAATGCACTAGAATGCATGATATATTTGATTTGCAAGTTGGATAAGGGTTTGTAAAATTATTTTATAAACAGAGAGTTATTCTGTTTGAAGAAGGTAATGTGCATTAGTGTATCCAAGTTAGTGTATGTGATATATTTAGCTGTAATGAAATGTGACCTAGATACATTAATGTAACAGAGTAGTTTTGGAATTATTTGTTTATAAGGCTAGTTACTCCCACTTTCCAGCTGTCTCTTCTTGCAAAATCTTGGAGTCTAGTGGACATATTAGAACTATCTATCTAAATTCAGCTTACAGGGAAAAATGGAGCTTCACCAAGCCATGGTTTCCACTTGAGAATTAACAAATGGGTATTTGCTCCAGTTTTCTTCTTCTTTTGAATGATAATGTGGTGAATATGTGAGAACAGACTTGCACTCCAAGCATACTTTGAAATTAGTAAAGTATTCTGGGGAAAAGTACAGAATAATATTTCATTCTGTGAAAACAGGATAATCTATGCTTTAGTTTCTATTTTTTCACAAATATATATTCTCATTTGAATGAATGACTCATAAGAATGTAAAGTGTATATAAATTTATTATATGAAATATATGCCGATATTTAAAAATTTGTAAATATGGTGAGATGCTATTCTTGTTGAAGTAATTCTGGTACTTCTCTTCAAGGTATATAAACATCACTAAGACCAGTGATGACTGGACTCACTAAGACAGTGAGACTGAAAGCATTTTGTAGAAATGTATTATATAAATGCTATTCTTATTAAAATCCTTATGCCTATTTTATTAGTTCAGGTATCTGTCTTTCTACAGATAAATATCTGTATATCTGTATGCATGTATGTATGTATATAATATATATGTACATATATTATATATACCTATATACACATCTTATAGAACCTAAAGATTCATTAGGTCCCCTATATATAGATTATGGAGTAGTAGTTCCCTGGAGCAGTAGTGCCAAGTCTCAATATAACTGAGCCCTAAAAAAGGAAGCTCTACAAAATATCTGCTAAAAAACACGAACAGTTTTGTGAATTTTAAATTTTAAATGAATTTTAAAACTATACAATATTGTGAGATATCAGGAGACAAAATCATGATCTCCCAATTCTTCATTTTCTTTTTTTCTTGGTCCTCATGTGGAAATCTCCTTAGGGACTTGGTTTTTAGGGATGGGAACTATATAAGAAGTGACGCCCCCCTAAATCCAATTTGTGGGAGAGTAATTCAAACATGTTCAAACAGAAGGTTTTGCACTGCTTTAGCCTGGGCGGGATTGGATTTACTGGTAACCGACTAGTTGTTAGTTCTTCTACAGGACTGGTTGCCTTAGGACCTGCTCCACAAGGAGTGGGTAGGAAGAGCTTAGTCATGACCTACGCAGGCTGGCTCTCAAATCACAGGCAGTTCGCTGCACTCCATCACAGAGAGGAAAGAAGGATATCAGGCTGGATTTTTCAGATATTTGTGGAAGCTGGACAATCCTAGAAGAAATTTGACTGGACTAGTAACACAGTGAAATATCAGTGAAGATATAGCAATAAAAGTAGAGGTCCGGTGCTTGCAATCGGCTTTTCTGATTTCCATTTCCTTTAATGTACTTTGAAGTTTAAATCACAGCTATCCGGCTTCAATAAAATTGCAAAGCATTTTGTGGGGAAGAACTAAAAATCATGGTTTTATAATGAATTTTTTGAATCTAGCTTTTACTGAGTCTCTCTCAAGTAAGTGTATATCCAAATCTATAGATTGTTCTAACATAGTTTTTGAAAAAGCAAACGGTGAAAATCATCCAAAACAGCTTGAACTTTGTGAACTTCCACATAAACGGGTCATATGGCAGTGAGATTACAAATTTATTAAGGGTGCTAATGGTAGAGGTTTTTTTTTTGAGAACAAATTCCAATAAATACAAATTTTGAGATAAAACAATTAAAGCTACAATCCATAATTCGTCATTAGCACCCAAGGAAAAGACTATAGTGGTAAGAAAATAATCTATGAAGATATTTACAAAAATTGTACATCCATGAAGGAGAAATTTTGTAGCATAGCAATTAAGGTTGGGAAGAAACCATGGGCTGTTCAACTTTCATTATCAAAATATAAACAACTTAGTAGTAATATAAATGGTGAAGTGATAGAGATCTTAATAAAGATTGACTCATCGAAATGGAAAATAGGAAAATACAGTAGGAAGTGAAGTGTTCACACTAAGTAGAAGATGGTTAGATTCCCTAGTTGCAAGGTTTTAAATGGCATGCCTTTATCTTTGTGAATTTCAATTAGACTCTGCAGTGGGCAAGTCAGGAAGGGAATATTAATGATGGAGGAGAAAGCTGGGTGGTGTTCCATTCTTCACAGAGGCAGCTAAGTAGAGCAAATGTTTGTTTAGGTTGTAGCTTATTAAATGCTCATTTAGAAAGTGGTGATTAATAGGTTAAAAAGAACAGCTTGAAAAATTTGCAATGTAAAGGTTTTATTGTCCTCACATAATCTTCAAAGCAATGCTAAAATTTACCGGCGATTAGAAGTGCCTGTTGTTATGAAAACTGTACCATCTAGGAAAAATATCTGAATTTTGGGTTCATATCTAACAAAATTGAAGTGTTTGGCATATATTGACTCTGAAGGCAAAGGGACAGAAACATATCAGCATACTTTTTGTTTTTACGTTTAAAATGTCTACCATTTATTACAACTTCTTGAAGAGACAAACACCCGTTCTGCTTTGCTTTAGAAGGATGTGCATAACGTTCTGTCTTACCTGCAGTACGAAGAGGAAAATGTCTCTCTTTTTGTTGTTGTTCAAGTTGCACGTTTGGATTTTATCGCCTCAGATAAAGTAGAAGAGAAATGAGACAAATTAAGCACAAGGCTGAAAGTGTACGATGGGACTGAAATTACAACAGGTCTCTACACCAGCAAAAACCCCTAAAGGGGGAAAACCTCAAAACATGTTACATACCCCGCCCCGCTGCGGAAAGAATTTGCAGAGGTAGTAGAAGCACAGCAGGTTCCTTTCTGCTGGGGGTGGAGGTGGGTAGGGTGGGGAGTACGTAAACTTTTTTGGAGCGGTTGATTGAGTTTGTCCTCCAGGTAGGGAGGACGTTTGTGAAAAGATATTGGGGAAAAGAATTGCTGAGAGTGAGTGGGTTTCCCAATAATTTGCAGATGACTTGACTGACCAGCTCCAGGGAAGTCTCCAGCCCTCAGAGCTTTGAAGGGAAATTGGTCCTGATTGCAGGAGTGTGAAGGAATGAGTGGTACAGCAGAAGGGCTCAGGAAATCTGAGAAACTTCCTGCTGTCTGATTCCACGCAACATGCCTCGAACTTGGTCCTGCGTGGATGCGCTGATGACCAAGTACAGGCGTGATGAGTCCCCTCGCCTTCCAGCGGGAGCTGTACCTCTCCTCGGCAGCCACGTCGCTCCGGAGCCAGGGCACGCTGGGGGGCGGGCGGCAGGGCGAGGTCCCGGGGATCTAGGGCCGCACAAACACACCGCGTCCCCGAAGCCGCACCAGCACCCACCAGCAGCCCCCTGGAACCTCGGGGCCTCCAGGGAGTCCCTGAGGGCGGCCGCGGGGCGCAGTCCCGGGCGGCGAGTGGGCTCCGCTCCTCCGGCGCGGCGTGGGCGCCGGGAGAGGCGCTCGCCGCCGCTTGGGGATGTGCCCTGGCAGGTGCCCGGCGGGCGGCGGGCGGTGGGCGGTTACCCGGTATCTGGGCGGGGGTAGGGGGGCGTCCCTGCGTTGCCGAGAACCTCGTTAGCCCTCCTTTCGGGCCTGGCTCCTCCTCCTCCAGGCGTGGGGCTCGTGCCCGCCGCTGCCTGCGCGCACCGCGCCTCTGCTCGCGTCCCCCCCGCACCCAGCCAGCTCCTGCCAACGCTTCCCCCTCCTCCTCTTCCTCCTCCTCCGCCCATCACCGCCACTACGGACGCCTTCGCCTCCTTCTACTCCTCGCGCCGCCGCCACTCCTCGCGCTCTCCTTCGGCTGCTACCAGCCCATCGCTCCCCGCTCGCCGGGCTGCTGCAGTCTGTCTGTCTCTCTCTCTCTCTCAAGTTTCCTATCTCCTCTAGATCAGGGCAAAGGGAGGAAAACACCCAATTCTGCTTGCCGTTTCAGGTAAGGTCGCACACGTTGGTCCCAACAGGGACCCTTGCTTTCCCATTTACCTTTGCCTCCCGTGCATGGCTCATCTCCCCCCATTCACTCTCCGATGGTCCCTGGAAACCGAAGCGGCTCAGGTCGCCCCCTCCTCCCCAGCATGTTTAAAAAATAATTTCGATACTCCTCACCAGAAGCCTATTTGCAACTACAATTAGATCCGAGACGCCCGCCCGGCAGCACGTTAGCCTGGCTCTTTTATAGTCTTTTAACTTTGCACGCTGTGATCGCCGCTGCCTGCCTGCCTCCGCTGGATCCCGGAGCCTCACGCTCCGGCTCGGATTGCGGTCCTCGGCTCCGGAACAGCTGTCAAACGCGTTGTTTCGCAGCAGTTAATCCGAACCCGGCTGCCTCCAAGACGTGGTCTTGGGCAACTGTGGTTGGGCAGGGAGGGAGGTGATTTTATTTTATTTTAAAAGGACTGAAGTAGTGAAGACGTGAGGACTGCAGTTCATTGTAATGAAAGAAGAATAATCGAAAAAAGTGGGCTGGCTGCCCCTTGCTTTTCCCGCTGTGGTCGCAGAGGCGGTCTTGGTTGAGGGGATGTGGCACGAAATACCCGTTTCTCCTCCCCTTTTTCACTCTCCCCTCCAACCCATTCTTTTCTCTAGCTCAAATGTCAGTGCAGGGTCCCGTGTGTTCTTAATACGTGTGTGTGTCCACAAAACAGTGTTTGCTGACGATGTGGCTGAGGGAAGTTCCTGGCAGAGCAAAGTCTGATTATTTGGTCATCATTCTGTTAAGAGAAAAAAAAAAAAAGAAGAAAAGAAAAGAAAAGACCCTCCTCCAGTCATCACACCCTACACACACTCCACTGGAATCATCTCTATATCTTTAACTCCAATTCCCAGTTGAAATGACATTCTTTTGGGCTATTTGGATGGTGGGACTGAATGTAATTTTAAGTGTATTTTGTTTTTCTTCCATGACTTTACAAAGAGTGGTGATGAAGATGAAACTGCACATCTGCAACATGCAGTTGCTGCTTCTTGTTTTCTTGGTGTGGGACCCAGCCAGGTGAGACAATTATTTACTGTATTTGCCATTTTAAATTCAGGGTGAAGGTGTGTTTCTTGAATGTTATCAATGCAGAGGTGGCTTTTCAGAAGCTGAAGTATTTTGAAGGATCATTTCTAATGAAAACATATTGTACCAAGAAACAGAACTATTAAATGACAGAGACTATTAAAAGTTCGCTGCTTCTTGTTTTTAGCGATAAAATATAAAAGTGAATACAAACATTTTCTAAAAAAATAAATCACGGAAGAAAAGAGTGCCCTTTAGATGGCATATTTTTGCAAAGAATTGAAGTGGTTGTTATATGCGATTATAATAACACCAAAGTTCAGTAAAGAAACCATCAGTTTTCCTTTAAGCCTAACAGAAAAGCATAAGCTAAAATGATTTGAGTGTTAATTTTTTTCTTTTCTTTTTCTTTCTGTCTTTCTTTCCTTTTGGTCTTGGCTCTTTCAGTCAACATAGAAAACCTAAATGATGTGTGGATCTGAAACCTCTAGGTGGAGGTACTATACAACTTCACAATCACAAACAAATAAAACAAAAGCTTGATTTATTAATCAACTTTTCATATTATTGATTTAGAAATTTTTACTTCTAAAATGGTACTGTCATAAAAAGTACTTACTTTGAAAATGTAACAAATTCTGTTTTGCCTGTATTCTACAAATATCAAATTTAATTTCTGTTGTTTTCAATAGCATCATCTTAATTGTAGTCTTTTCTGATTTTTTTTTATCATCAATGGGCAGCTTTTATTAATTGCCTAAATTTAGGGTATGGTTTTCAAAATGCCAGAGAACTTAAAATATGATTCATAATAATGTCCATGTAATTATTCTTTTAAAAAAATTAGTGTTTTTGATTTTATGATACCTTTATTTCCCTTTAAAATTTTCATTTTCCTGTCTCAGTAATTGTCAAAGTTTGAAAATACTTTCTAGAACTGAGAAGAAATCTCTTTATGAAGTCTTATTTTTAATTGGAAAATAGCTCCTCATTTAATATCTTAATATTGAGTTTAGAAAGAAAATGTGACATGTGACTAAAAAACGCTTTCCAGTGAAAATCTCTAAGTGGAACTTCATGACGATCTTAGTGATTGGTTTTAAAGTTAGCTTAAGGCAACATAAAAACTTTTGAGGCTTGAGGTATGAACTAATTTGCTTACATAATTTTTTTAATGTTTATCTCTATATCAATGTTTTAGTATTTTCTCTTCTCCCAAGAGGATATTTGCTTGAAGTTGGTTACTGATTTTTCAATGTATTATGACTATTTTTAGCTACTAGCTGTGTAATCATTTAAATGCAAATGAATTCTGTCAATGATATTTCACACAGTACACCTTGATCAGAATGCAATTACATATAATCTTTGATTTTAGAGGAGTGAACAAACTGTGGTCCATTAATAATCATTGAAAATACTCAGTACTTAACCATATTTTCTTCTACTAGTTTTCTGTTCTATATTTGACCAGTAATGCTCATGCCAGTATTTTATTCTATTATATAAATGATTCTTTTTCTGGACCAGTAATTTAAATCTCTGAATCATTCTGGGGGAAAAAATGGCAGCGAAAAGGGACATTCTGTTTTATACATCCAGTTGCTTCTGCACCAAATTGCTGGATGTCACAAAACCAGGTGTCTGGCTTTCTGATGGAGAAATAATGGAGAAAATCAGTGTTTCTAACCCTCTTCTGGTGATATTTTAAGACCACTTATTCTTTCTGCAAATTTATCACACACACACACACACACACACACACACACACACACACACAAAGTAGCTGGGCATTTTAATCTTTGGATGACCTCTATTGCTCTCCTCAGAGACCAGTCAGGAGGGGTACTCCTCCAAGGCTCTCTGCAGCTGTGTGTGTGCTGCTGATGCTTTCAGAGCCCACCTCCACCTCCTGACTTCAGTGGAGTCTGGAACACAGCCAGTGGAGTTTCCCTGATGTCTATATTGCACTTGGCCATTGGGTGGAGGTATACCCAAAGTTAGAAAATCATCTTGGCTTAAAAGAGAAAAAGACATAAAAAGAAAAGACATTTCTGAGAAAGATGGAAAAATTCTGTGCCTCCAAGGAGGCAATTTATTTTCCAATTAATATTCAAATCACTGAAGAATTCTTTCAGTAGTCCCTTTGGTTTTTGTACCTTTCCAAATGCAGAACAACATTACTAATAGTATCTGCATATGATAATCTACCATCATAATATTTTCTAGGGAGTGCATTTTAGAAATATTGAATAGGTCACACAAAATGCGAAGTGATAGAAATCTGAAATAATTTTGGCATCAAACTTTCTGATAAGCTAGTATTTATTATCTATTTCCAACAGCATGTTTACCTTCCCTATAGACATACTGGCATTTAAAGGAGTGGAAAAAAAAAAAAAAAGGAGGAAAACGGGTGACACTAATAGCTCAGGGAGCCTTAAAATTCAAATCAAGGAGGAAGAGCATGTTGGCACTTGCAAAACACACGTATGTATATATATCAGCTTGTAAAATTATCTGTTTAGGTTGGTGCTGGCTAACATCCAAGAAGATGAGGCTAAAAATAACATTACCATCTTTACAAGAATTCTAGACAGACTTCTGGATGGTTACGATAATCGGCTTAGACCAGGACTGGGAGGTAAAAATAGTTTTCCTTTTCTTAAATGCTCACAAAATAATGCCTTTAAAAGTTAAGGGTAATATTTATATTTTAATACATTTTACACGTGAATGCATTGTCACATATTAAAAAACATAGGTAATAGAAAATAAGGTATATGAAATAAACATTATCTCTGATTCCTTTTATACAGATATAATGTATTTACCATACCTTTTATAGACTACCTGAAGTCATATAGAGCCCAGACTTTGTGCATGAATAGTTTTTAAATTAGTTTATTTATAATGGCTAAGTTTTTCAAACTTAGACTACGTGAAAGCGTGACATTATTGGGCAGATATGCTTGTATAGTATCTTTCGTTTCCTTCATTGAATTTTGCAGATGCCTACTTTCACACTAGTACAGATATATAGAAACGGGAAACATAAAAATATAAAAGAGTATCTGGGTTGAATTTTAGCAACCAGATAAATTTTAGCAATCATCACAGGATTCTGTGATGATATAACTTTACACGTGCATGTGACGTTTCTAAAATACAGCACCGGTTTGGCATTCTTGAAACTTTCAAAGACATTTTGGGTATACTTCAGCTGTAGGCCTAATTTATTGACCTGTGGCACAGTTTGATTTCAAATTTAAACATTCATTCTCAACTCAGAAAAACAGATCTATTTTTATCCATAAAGGTAAAGGAAACTAGGCTTGGCTAATGTGTTAAATTTTAATTATCCTTTAGCATACATGGGTGATACTAAGGAGATTATGTACAAGTAAGATAGGTGTGTAATTCCTGAAAGGATTCTGAGTCAAAATATTGTTACTCATTAATTCTAACATGAGATGTATATATATATATATATATATATATATATATATATATATATGTATGTATATATCTGCATGCACACATTTATCAAATGTATGTTATACTAATTAGGATGTTCAGTTTAATAACCAATTCAAAGTTAAGATGAATTAGTTGAATGCTTGGTACTGAATGAAGGTTTATATAGTTAGCCTGATTATTACCAGGTTGGCAACTTTGCAATATTAAATTGCTTGAAAAGATGTGTAGTGACTAAACGCCTGGATGTTTATGTCAATACTGTCTTTGAAAAATGTAGCTGGTTGTTAATTCTATACATATTTGCCAATTGTATGGTTTGCATTGCCCAGGAGTCAGAAAAGGTTGGAAAAGACCCAACTTGTTTTTAAATAATATGCCATTTAATTGATAGTGGTTTTGGACTTGAATCCTGAGTGGTACCTTGCATTTCAAGAGAGAAGTGATGGGGAAGAATAATGTTCAGAAGTATGATGCATTGTATCTCTCAGAGATAATTCAATTGTTTAATATACACTTAGTCTACTAAAAGAAAAACTCTCAAGTTTATGAGTCTGTTTCCATTTTGTAAATAAGTTCTTTACTCCAATATAAAATAAAAAGTTAAAAGAAAAGTTAAAATAAGGAAAAACTAAAGGAAAAGAATATTTTCTTAGTAATTAACATTTCTAATGACCATGAATAGAAGGCATTACTGTCCATGTTAGCATATATAGCAAGGAGCTAATGTCAAACTCATACAACAGAAGTATGCCTAGCATGAGGCTGTCATAATTCATGATGGTGATTTGAGAGGTAGATTGCACTAAAGCAGATATTTTCCCAAGGCTTAGATTTTATTATTTTTAAATAAATCATGTGCTGTCAAAAAGACTTAAGATATTTAAGCTAGATCTTGGATTTTGTCTATGAGATTTTAAGAGAAATGTTTACACTGTGGGTGTATAGCTGGGAAGTAAAAACTACCTGTTAAAGGACATGGATATTACCATTTATCTCTTCATATTTCTTTAAAAATATCTCTTCCATTCTTTTTACTTTGGTCATCAGCATTCGAATATAGATCCTTGTCACTCATTCTGTAGGTTAATGCAATAGACAAAGTGGCTCTTCTTGTCTAGTGTCTTCCTTCCCCAATCCTTCTCTGATAGTGGACATGTGCTAATATTTCACAGTCAGATTGGTCTTCTTGTAGTCAATACTTTTCATATATTACTCTCTTGTCTTGATCAAATACCTTTGATAGCTCCCCATTGCTTTCTGTAGATGGTGATGAGGGGTTAGGGGGGAAGGAATATAGGCCTTGCATGCAGATGGATCTAGATTAGAATTTCTTCTCCATCTACACACCCAAAACTGTGTCTTGGCCAGGTAATCGCTGTTTCCTTTCATTTAAAATGGTCGTGATGGGGATTCCCTTGTGTGTTATTTGTTGCTTTTCCCTTGCTGCTTTTAATATTTTTTCTTTGTATTTAATTTTTGTTAGTTCAGTTAATATGTGTCTCAGCATGTTTCTCCTTGGGTTTATCCTGTATGGGACTCTTGTGCTTCCTGGACTTGGGTGACTATTTCCTTTCCCATGTAGGAGGGTACAAATGAACTTATCTACAAAACAGAAATAGAGTTACAGATGTAGAAAATAAACTTACGGTTACCAGGGGGTAAACGGGGGATAAATTGGAATTGCCATATACACACTACCATATATAAAATAGATAACTAACAAGGACCTACTGTATAGCACAGGGAACTCTACTCAGTACTCTCTAATGGTCTATATGGGAAAAGAATCTAAAAAAGAGTGGATATACGTATATGTACAACAGATTCACTTTGCTGTACACATGAAACTAACACAACATTGTAAATCAACTATACCTTCCCAAAATTAAAAAAATAAATAAATTAAATGGCCATGATGTATTTCTACTTTATAGTGTTGTTGAGAGGATTACATAAACTACAGTGTACACGCAACATACTAGCAGTTAAACACAATCAATTCCTTCCCTCCTTCCATAGGTTCCGAACATGACAATCAAGGATTTTACAATTTACTTCTCTGGCTTAATTTTTACTTTGCCACCCATCTATCCTGTACTTCAAACACATCTATTCATTTTCTCTTGATAATCCATTCACATCTTCTCCCTTAGCCTTTGAGGGGAAAATATTCCCCTCTCACTGGAATTATTCTTCCTCATTCTCTCTTTTCCTATGAAGACCACCTCAATGTGGATCCTTTTCAGTAATAACCTTTCTTAACTGAATTGAAGCACCCAGATTCAATTTTCCCTCTGTTGAATTTCTTTGGCTGTTGTTGGCTTTGTATCTCATTTGGTACGTATTATGTGCTACCTTGGATTATTTATTACCTTTTTATGTGTCTCTTGTTACCTTAACAAGATCGTAAACTTATTGAGGCAAGGTATTGTATCTTAAATGCTCTGTACTGTCACTAACTAAATATTGATTTGCATATGGTGACTCTAACAAAATATATTGATTACTTGATTAACTTTTCTATGACCAGTTAATCATCTGGAAAATGGAGCTACTCACATCTGGCTGACCTTTCAGTTGGGAATGTTGAGGTGATACTTTGTGCATCCTGCTGCAGGAAGGTGGTGTGGCTGAGTGAAGAGAACCTAACTTTAGACTGTGGTGATTTAGGTAAAATTCTAGATGGAGTACTGAGCAGTCTTATGGCCTTTCAGTACTTTACCTCTCTGGGGCTACGTCTGTCATGGATTACTATTACTATTCTTAGGGTTTTTGATGAATATTAAATACAGTGATATATGCAAAGGATTTAGCACAGTGACTGGCATATAGCAGAGAGTTAATACATAACAATGACTAGAAGACTTTGAAAACCTTTGTAAATACACTGTTGTAAGTTTCAGTTATTATTACGGTTTCTTCTCTGTCCAAAATTCTCAGCCTGAATGTTCATATGTCATTTCAAATAGAAAGTTCAGGGAAATTATTTGTATCATTATATCCCAGAAATTAATAATAAGGGGAAAAATGGGTTTGATTCAATTTAATATATCAAACTGAACATCTCTATTGATGGATAATCTGAATAATTAATCTCAATTATTATTATTTCTCCTTTGTAACGTTAGTATAAATGAGTACATAGGAAAGAGCAATCAGTTTTGTATTAAGAGTTAGAAAAACTATTCTTTTCACCTGGCTCTTCAACTTACTAGCTCTTATCCCAGACAAGTTACTTAGACCTTCTGAGCCTTGATATCTTCTTAGGGAAAATGGGAATATTAGCATTTTATTCTGAGAGGAGGAGGATAAATTGGGACTTCTATACATGAAAAGGATTGTACAATAGGTCGAATGATAAAATTTTAAGGTATTTAATAATTAATTATGGGTTTTGTTTTTTTTCTTCCAGTTTTATTAAGGTAAATTGACATATAGCACTGTAAACATTTAAGGCGTACAGACCTATGGGTCCTCTTTAAACTGAGGGCCCGATCACATTACTCAACTGCTCAAAATCCTGCAATGGTTTCTACTTCAGTCAGAATAAAACACAGATTTCTCTCAATGGTCTCCAAAGTCCTGCATAATCTGTTTCCCTATTCTTCTTTGGCCTCACCCCACACAACTCTCCTTCTTGCTAAGACTGCTACAGTCACATTGGCTTCTTTTCTGTTCCATGAAGACACCACAATACACACACACTCCTTGGAGCTTTTCCCCAACTGTTCCCTCTTCCCTGGATACCCATTGAGCTCACCTTCTCAACGAGGCCTACCCTGACCAATGTGATAAATACTATGTGTTCATCCTTTAACAATACTGCTCCTTCTTATGCCTTATTTTCTGTTTTTACTTAGCACTTACTATTTTTTAATATACAAGATAATTTTAAAATCATTAGGTCAATTGCTTACTTTTGTCTCTTTTGCTAGAATGAAGGCTAATTGGGATTAGGGATTTTTGTCTGTTTTGTTGTCTGGTTCTCAAGCATCTAGAACAGTGCCTGGCACATAGTAAGCATGGAATTAAATATTTCTTGAATGAATTTTATTTTATTCGTTTATTTTATTTTATGTTACTTAGTATGCTCCCATGAAAAGAATCGGCTATAGAACTTACCTTATCCTTAAAATCATCAGAGCAATTATCATTTAATTACTG